GTTCAGTTAGCTGTTGGAGAGCTCTGTGTTCCCACCGATTTAGGAGTTTTTTGTCTTATTCGAGGCTACATCTAAGCTGTGTATGGTTTAAAAACCAAATTCAAATCAATGAAGCTGTAATTTTGTTCTTCTTAAATTTGAAATTTCTAGTTCTAATTCTCTCTTTCTTCTTCTGAAAAGTTTCCCTCTGAAAATGTTTAAAAAACGCAGCAAGCATCAGTGACAGATCTGACACTCGGGGCAATGGATTGTCACGTGTTGCCATGCAACTAAGTTTTAAAGTGTTGGGTCATTTCACGCGTAATAAACTGGTTGTGTGGCTAATACCATAGCATGGCCAGCTGTCATGATCTGTGTGGGAATTTCCAACGTGAAATAATAGGATAAGGCTCAAGGGCTGATACGAACATGTGTTCTCTGTAGCTCCATTAAGTTAGACCAAACCACAGTGCTTCCCACAAGGTGTGGCTTGCTGGGAATCATTAGCATTTTGGCTTGCTCCATATATACCAAGCATGTGACTCTGGTACTAGACTAGACTTCAGTTGTGCAAGGACCCCAGGCGCTAGCCATTGGAAGTGTCTGCTAAGCATTTGCCTTGGTCCCTGTCTGCTTGTAGATATGATATTCTATGGTCTCCAATCAGTACTTCATATCAAATTTCAAGCAATTAGTACCCTTGTTTGATTGATGCTGCCTAATGTGATAGACGTTGATAATGCTGGCGCATCATTGATAGGACGAGAGGAGGCAGGAAATACTATTACATTTTTCTTTTACAATATAAATTAAAATTATATTTAACAACAAATTTGCTAGTCACTAGCCCTTCAAGTGGAGGAATTGCATACTGCATCGTTTCAAACTAGAAGAAAAGGGAGCAAAGAAAAAGAATAAGAACAAATTAACAATGTACTACAAGCAGCGCTTAATTCGTTTAGTAAACGAACAAATATGAGAGTTCAAGTAAAAGTTTCAAATTCAATTAATAGAATTTTTAACTGACACGTGTTGTACATTTGACAATCCTTCAAATAATGTATAAAAAAAATATTTCTTTTAAAATTTAAATACATGCTACAAATATATTTGTGAATGTATATTATGTTATAATTCAATAAGTTTAGATTAAGTTAAATAGCATAACAGGCCAAACACAAGTATAATCTTATTTGAATTTTTATATTTAATTATGTATATTTAGATTTAGATTTAAATTATATTAAAATTAAAATTTAAAAAATTATTGACCTATAAATAAGTTTTTGACTTTATATAAATATACTCTCAAATATAATTTTCTTACATCTCTAAATATTTGATCAAGTAATTAATCTTTATAGTTATATTTGATGACTACAAAAAATTTCTTTCCTTGAAACAGTGTTTTCTTGACCCATTTGACGAAGGAAGTGCGGTCATTCAACCATGAAATAAAAACAAAGTTTTGAAAAAGTAAAAAAGGGATGTTGGTTTTAATCAAAGTCCCTTGCTAATAATCAATCAAGCACAAGTCAACATTCACCATCACCCATGGTGATATCAATGTGAAGTACGATTTCTTTTCATTAGGGCAATCGAACTCTCTAGGCTTTATGCATTTTTTGTTTTTCTTTTTTGTTTTTGTCATTGAATATTCATTTCCCAACTCTTAATTTGCTTGCATTTTAGTAATAGCTTTTGAAACAGGCAGGGCCCTTCCTAGTGGACTATAAAGTAAAGCAAAGTGCCCCAACAATGGTGGACAGTGACCCGCCATGATTATATGTGCACTAGCTCGCAGAAAAAAAATTTAGCCTAGATATTGGCAGAGCCTTGGAGGAGCGTAAATAAATTAACGATGGTTGTGAGATTAGAGGGCATGCCACCTGTCCAAAATTGAAACCGATGCATGAGGATGTGGGAATTACTCTTATGTGCTATGAAAGCTCCTATATGTTGTTTGATTGTAGTTCAAGTTTAATCGAAATCCAGTTTAACCTACGATAAAAAATAAATTAGATTAAATGAACATGATCCTCTTTAGAATAGGCATCTAGTTAAATGCGTCTGCATTCGATTGTTGCACTTTTATTTTATATCCTGAGATGCATTGAATCTTGATGAAATTTCATTGACAACGATATGTCAGATGGCATATATCATACGCTTTTGTCTTTTTTAGGGAGAAATTAAGAAGAGAGCGACTTGCCATGCAACAGAAAATAGAGTTGGGCCGAGATGCGTCAACGCATCTATTGGTTGCTTGGGGTCCTTAAAATATGTGGTGGAAGGCTCAGATTCGCCGGCGAAAGCAGGATCCTAGCTAGAATCCTCATCAACAATTGCAACTTGTTCCTTGATTTTCTTTCTCTTGATAACGACTTGTCTTTTGTTACTGCCTCTTGTTGGGTTTTACACTTCGCCCTCCAAGAAAATAATAAAAAACTAAGGTGAATTGAATTCCACTATGATTTGATGGTTAATTACAAGGGTCACACTTGAGGAAAAATATTCCTCCCAAATAGTTCCAACTTGGAAGAAATGTGGGCATCATGCATTTGCGTATGCATCCTTGCAGAAACATATTTCTCCTATTTTATTGTATCAACTTGTTGTATTAAAATGTAGGAGCATGACACAGGGATTGCATCCATGTGTCAACAAGTACTAGATCCCTTCCCGCTGCTACTGCACACAAATGCTTGATTAGGTTTCAACATTTGATTGCTGTTACCAAACGATTCCAAACTATTCCCTACTGCCTCTTTGGGGATGATTCTCCGGAAATCATTACTCACTAATTAAGAAAAGGGGTTAGCAAAGTTGAGAGTGGGGAATGATGCCCAAAAGCTAATTAATTTCAACCAAAACACAACAAGTGTGGGTTTTCAATTTGAACTGAGAAAATAAAAGCATCAAGCTCCGATTAAAAAACACAAAATGAGGGGAGCATGTGATCCCGATTCCTTCACAAAGGCAAAAGGCGTAGTTTTAGAAACCTATGAAATTGTGAAAATTCAGTGACGTTTAGGTTCTCAATGAAGTTAACAAAGTCGGAATTGGATTCGGTTTCTCTTGGTTCCAATTAAATGGAAAAGTACGATTCATTAGCCCACGCCTGCACCTCTCATTGCTTATCCATTTCTTTGCACCATAACTGTAATTCAACTACCCAAACCCCTTTCGGCTAACGTGTTTGAAAGAATTTAATCCTTTCGAAAATAGTATGTAATCAAAGCCATTAGGGATTTAATAATGGACTTAAGATACATAGTAAAAGTGAAGTATATATTACATAGGTAAAGTAATATGTGATAGTGGATATTTGATTTATTAATTAATATATAATTTTTTATTTTAAAAAATATAATTTAATTTTTAAAATTTTTTTTTTTAAAAAATAACATGTGACATTAGCTAAAGTTAAAACAAAATAAAAGAGAGTAAATACGTTTGGTTTAAAGATTGAATTTAGGATGAGAATTTTGCCACATTTTGATAGTGTCATCTTTAAAGTCGGCGAAGGGCCCTACATCCCATTTGTGTGTAAACCATTCTTTCATTAATAATGAAAATTGCCGCCAAGTTTTTATGCCCCATTTGTACAGACATTCTCATCGATAACTAAATTCACCCTAACCATCCCATCATCACCATCTTTTGCAGCACCACATGGCGAATCAACGGTCCCCAATTGATCCTTCCTAGTTTTCCACTTTATGTCCAAAGCCGAAAACCAAATTTAGTCAGTTTCCTTATGCATAGGGTCCTTTTTTGTAATTTCCTTACGCAAAGGGCTAATAGCCAGCCATGGAGCAGCACTACAACCCATTGCCCCAAGATGCACTTCACGCTCCTTCTTTACCAGTATTAATTCACGCGCCTCTTTTCGGTCTTTCTTTTGTTTTTTTTTTTATCATTTCGTCTTCTTTCTAAACATTTATATTTTTCGAAAAAATAAAACATTCTAAATAAATTCTTTTAAATTCAAAATATGTATACTTATCATTAAATCAAATACTTAAAAATATAAATTTTTATCACTCTTCAAATATTCATCAGCAATTATTAGTTGTTCTCAGACAATTTTAGAATAAGCAATCTTATACAATTTTGACAATTTTTTTTTTCCTTCACATCTCTCTTTCTCTATTGAAATTTAAATTGAAGAGAGATGATGGATTTGATTTAGGTTAAATCTATTATTTGTATGAGAATTGATTTTTGAATTCAATAATTATAAAAATAAATTCTATTCAATTAGGTTTTGGATTTCATTTTGAAAATTTGGTTTTGTTGGCTACTATCATTTATAAAATTTAAAATAAAAATGATAACTATTATAAATTTTAGAATCTTTGAATAATCAAATCTACTAAAACAAAATAAATATAAATAATTAAATATATTAAGATGTACGATGTTTGATATATATAAACTACTTAAATTTAACTTAAGTGATAAAAATACAATTATAACCCGTAAATTTGAATAGAATAATATATTTAAATGTCGGTAACAAAACCAACTTCAAAAACTAAAAAAAAATCTGAACTTGATATTAATCTATTTAATTTTAAATTTAACTACATAAATAAGATAAAAAAATTACTGTGTACTCCTTAAATTTTGAAGAAAACACATTAATTACTATAGCTAATTTGAAAGTTTCTCTTTATTATTGATTTTAAAAAATAATTGTTAAAAAACTAATTCAATATATTAATTTTTTAAAAAAAATAAAAAGAAGCAGCTGCAAGGCATTTCAATAATGATTAGACCGTAACAATTTTTTGTTTTTTTCTTATTAAAGGGGGAAAAAAAAAGAACAAGCAGCAGGGAGCGCACGAGAGTGAAGTCATGGTCACGCGCACAAACTGAGAATGGGTTAACAACTATCCTGACACAAAATAGAAGGAGAAGGGTGTTTGGTCGCCGCGTCATTTCTGAGTAATTAACGAAATTATTAAATGTTAATCATTGGCTGCAATGACCCATATTTAAATCTCAACGCCACTCCATCGCCCATTTTCCCCTCAGCTGCTCTCATTACTCAGGAAAATAAAGATGGAATTTTTTGAGACAGAGAAAGAGAAAGCAAAGCAAAGCATGTTGTTGTGAAAGTGGTATTCCGACGTAGAAAAGCATAGCATACAAAACTAAATCTCTTTTTAAAACATTCATTCATTCACAGAAAAGAACAAAGCTTTTCTCTTCTTTGCTCGAAGAAGAAGAAGAAGAAGAAGAAGCAGCAGCAGCTAAGCTGTATAAACTTGTGAAGGGACTTTCAGAGGTAATATACATCTTTGCCTTTAAACATATCTCCTGACAGCTGTTCTCTACGTGTAATATGTATTTTCTTTTGGTTTTTCTGCATGATGAAGTTCTTATTTTAATTACCATATATATATATATATATATAATTGCATATTTGCCTGTTTTCCAGTTAAGTCATCTTATTTAAGAGTTGGATTTTTCAGTTGGAGTTTCCATTTATTCTTTCATGTTTCTTTTGAAATTAAGAAATTCTACACAATTCTCTTTGTTGGAACTTGGAAGTTGGATTATTTGTTTCTCCATGTTATTACGTCTGAGAATTCGCAGAATTCTTTCGAGATTCAGTGGCTTCTTCTTCTTCTTCTTCTTCTTTTGATAGAACTTGGATAAAGAAAATCAGCTCTCGTTGGTATGTTGTAGGATGGGTCTTGCAGCAGTTTCAGTTTTCAAGCTTTGACTGATTAATTGTTGATTTCTCTTTTTCTCTCTTTTGCTCAATGGTAATGACTGGTGACTCAAGAGTGATAAATATTTACCATTAAAGTTGAGTTTTCTACAGATTTTTTACCTGTAAACAACAATAACGGAACAACAGAATTAGATCAGACGGCGGTGATGCCGATTGTGAGGTCTTGTTTCAGAAGAACGGACTGTCGTGATATGGATGATAGGGAAAAGGTAACTGTTAAGAATCAAATCCTCGAGTCAATTCAAAGTCGTTTTGGTCTACTTTTGTTCTTAGCTTTTCCTTGCTAGCATTAATTCTGATCATAGACTGTCTCATGGTTGTGGGGCCCATAAGATGTGTCACCAAGGCAACCATAGAAAGCCCTACTATCTACTTTTTCACAGGGATTCAAAATGCACTCTCTCTCTCTGGGGTTGGCTCCCCTGCAAGGAAAAAGATACTTTGGTTTCCATTATGTTATTTAGTTTGTAGAGCAGTGGGATGCTTTGAATCCCTTTGTCTTTTCCATACCTTACCATAAAGGCCAATTTAGTGCAGTATTCCACTTGCTTGTTACTTATTCCAAGTTTTGAATCTTACAGGTACCCTTAATTATAAAAGTTCAGATAACTGTTGCAACCTGTGTTACCATCGATCAAGTTAAACATACTAAGCCAAAGCTTGAGAATTTCCTTCCTGTGTGTAGGAGTTGATGTAACAGTTCAAGTTAAACATAGTGGGCTTTCTCCTGTATTGGCTACTTTGTTACATAGCTTGGATTAAATTTTTTACATATCTCCTTTGCTTGGAATGAAAAATTATTAAGTACACCAAGTTCTGACACATGTAAAACAATGGAGGATAATCATGGAAAAAAGCACCTTTGTTATTTTGAACTTCTTATCAGTCATAAAGGTTTGTAAACCTTCAGCCTTTGTAACATATCGCAAAATATTGGCGAAAAAAGGCATTGTCCTAAGTCATCTTTCATGATCAATACATAGATAGAGGCCCTTATAATGATAATATATAGAGATTTTAATTTGTTTGCATCGCTAGGTTTTGCATAACAATGTATTGGCTTTATTTATTTATTTTTCCTGCGCTTTATTTACAGATATTTGCTGCTATAATGTGAACCTGATTTCAATCAATAAGGGCTTGCCACGTTGGGCAACCTTAACTGCAAGCTAAATCATCAAGAAGCCTTTCTTGTCTTCCTCAGAAACGGTAGTTCTCTCCCTCTCTTAGATAAAAATTTAAAAATATTGTCTATGATTGTAGCTTACAACTCTTTAGTTGCACCTACAATGCACTCAGTTTGATATGTGTAGAACTTATTAAGCTTTCTCAATTTCTTTTCTCATATTCAAAAAGTGTTTTGAGACTTTGGAATTGTTCTTAACTTTTAGTTTGATATCAAGTGTCGACAGATAACTGCGATTTAGATGGTCACTGTTCCATCCTTCTGGCCAAAAATCAGCTAATTCATGCAGGATGTTCACCTCCATCATTGTTGGATGGCTTGCAATACTTAATGCCCCTTTGTTCTTAAATTTCAACATATACTACATGTTCTTTGACTGGGATACTTTCAGTTTTAGGGGGTTTAATTAGGGATATGGAATATTTTCACGGGTTGCTAGCTGATAGACTAATCATAATATCTTGTATCTACTTGTTTAAAATTGAACACTAGTTTTGGGGGAGATGGCATGATAGATTTCTCCTTAAATAATTAATGTATATCACCTGGTGCTGAGCTTGTCTGCTGTGACGCAGAAAAAGAAACAACATCTGGTTTTTTGTGAAGCTGTGGTTTAAATGGCTAAAGTTTGTTGGCCATACTTTGATCCTGAGTATGAGAACCTGAGTGTCAGAATCAATCCTCCAAGGTTCCGTTTCTTTCTCTATATGCTTTTGTTAAATATTAGTTATCAATTTTTGTTCCAAAACAAGCAACTACATTCAACTACCTTGATGGTTGAGTCACTGTAGTTCTTGGGATTTACAGTTTGTTAAAATATGTACATTGACAATTTTATGCAACCCAAGTGTATTTTGGCTGTATAAGTTGTTTTTTCTTTTTTCTATTAAGAGGGCAGGCCACTGTATCAGAGACTTAGACACATTTTTGCAGGTCACATCTTTCTATAGTGTATAACTCTTTGATTCTCATACTTATTCCAGCAGGGTGTCTGTGGACAACACTAGTTGCAGAGACTGTACTGTAGTAAAGGTAAAATTCAATGCAAATAAAGTTTATGCCTCGCTGGCTGTTGAATTCACCTGGGAGCTGTCTAACATTCTTAGTGCCAACAGCTAATTCATTATGTACATTTAGGTTGACAGCGTGAATAAACCTGGAATACTTCTGGAAGTTGTGCAAATACTAACAGACCTCGACTTCATTATTACCAAAGCTTACGTCTCCTCTGATGGCGGATGGTTCATGGATGGTATCAATATACTAATATTTATCGATTTTTTATGTTAGGCTTTAGAGCTCAGTGCCTTTATTATGCTTGCAATAAATTTTCCCACAAAAGATCCTTACTTAACGGTAGAACAGAGTGCAGTTCCACTCTTGTTTTTATTTCTAAACACATCAGTTATGGATAACCATTAATTTGTACGGTTATATCAGGACAATATCCTTATGTCCCTCTCCTAATAATCTGCCACCCCACCCCACTCCCCTTCTTCCCCCTTAATACTGAGTGGGTATTGACATTTTTGTTCTTTGCAAACAGTGTTTCACGTCACTGATCAACAAGGGAAACAGATTACTGATGGAAAAACCATCGATTACATAGAGAGGGTATGCCCTGTCTTTTCTTCTCTAACTCATCTTCTTTTATGTACCAAAATTGCCCCAAAAATGCTTAGCTAGTAGAGTTTGAAATTTCCATTTGGGCTACAATCATACAGATACACAAGGGAACCAAGTGACAGAAGCTTTTGCTTAACCATTCTATTTCTGGATGATGAATTCTCCCTCTCTTTCCCCTCTTCATGAGGCCCACTGTTGCCTTAGTCATCCATAGCTCCTCCGTGTTGCTACTCTCATGTTCTGTATATTTATTTGTCCAACTTATATTTACTGGCAATTTTGTATTGATTAATGCAGAACTCGCAGGTACATGAATAAGTGGTAAGGATTGCCCAAAATGCTCCATATGGGCGTTTCCTCTTATTTCCCCTCATAACATTATGGAGTGAAGTATGAAGAGCATCATTCGCCATTTTATTTAAAGCCACAGCAATTGTTTAGATAGCACCTTCTTTCCTCATAAATAGTTGTCCCTTGCCTGTTATCATTCCCACTAGAGACGAATAAAAACAGAAAAGGGATTATAATAATTCATCAAACTTTAAAAAAAAAAAAAAGCAGAGAATAACTACCTCAGCAACTGTTTCCTGCCATTATTCTCCATGTCATGTTGAGTGCACTTTTTTATACTTGTATTACATCTTATATATACGTTTTCTTTCAACAGGCTCTAGGACCTAAGGGCCACACCACAGATGGGATGAAAAATTGCCCTGGCAAACGTGTTGGGGTGCACTGTGTTGGTAATCACACAGCAATTGAACTCATTGGGAGGGACAGGCCTGGTCTCTTATCAGAGATCTCTGCTGTCCTTGCCAATCTTCACTTTAATGTGGCTGCTGCAGAAGTATGGACACATAATAGACGAATTGCATGTGTGCTCTACGTCAATGATGATACCACCAGCCGTGCTGTGGGTGAACCAAACAGACTGTCTATTATGGAGGAGCAGCTTAAGCACATCCTGCGTGGTTGTGAGGATGATGACAAAGTGGCTCGTACCAGCTTCTCCATGGGATTCACACATATTGATCGGCGGCTTCACCAAATGCTGTTTGCTGATAGGGATTATGAAGGTGGTGGAGTGACAACTGAGGTTGACTATCCTCCTTCCTTCAAACCAAAGATCACGGTTGAGCGTTGTGAGGAGAAAGGGTACTCAGTTGTTAGTGTCCGGTGCAAAGATCGAGCTAAGCTGATGTTTGACATTGTCTGCACACTTACAGACATGCAATATGTAGTTTTTCATGCCAACATCTCATCCAATGGTCCCTATGCTTTACAGGTATGCAAGTCATTTGTCATAGCCTTTCAAAAGGAAAGAACCAAGCACTGCCTTCAGAAAAATCATTTTGCACTGTTTCTAAGTTGCCACCAGAAAAAAAAAAAGAAAGAAAGTAGGAAACAAAGATGGTTTATATGTTCAAATTGTAATATACATCACATTTATGAGTAAAAACTCCTTTATTCCATTTTTATACAACTTATCAATCAGTTATATACATTTGATAAGGCACCAGTTTGATTTAAAAGATTAATGACCTTTATAAAAGTGGGGTGCAATAAGGAGTCCGTAAAATGCCTCACTGTAATCGGCTGTTCATTTGTTTTGGGACAGTAAAATTTTGAAAAATTGGGGTTATCAAAAGAGTATCTAAGTAAACAGCTATCTTGACATGGCATTTAATATTGACACCACTTATGCTTCCATAGCACTCAGCCATTCATTGTAAACTTTCTATAGTCACATCCATCCTTTCATCACTCTGTTAACTCAAAATTGAATCAGACGGACCAAAATATGCATAAATGATCATAATGCCTTTCAAATTGTAGGAATATTTTATTCGCCACATGGATGGCTGCACACTCGATACTGAAGGTGAGAAAGAAAGGGTTATTAAATGTCTAGAAGCTGCAATTCACAGAAGAGTAAGTGAGGTAAGTAGTGTGACTAACTGAAACGTTCTGTTAATGTTTAGCCAGTATTATTGCATAAATAGAGACAATCTTCTGGTTTCTAGTTAAAAATTTTTGTTTCTAAATGGTTCTGCTGCACTGAATTCTCAATGTGAACTGTTAAATAGCTGTTGATGTTCCTCTAATGCAAATGTGTAGAATGTTTTTTAGTAGTCAGAAATTCTGTGCCATATGAGATGATTCATGAAAACAAAGGTCTTTCGTTGCTTAGAAAAAATATTTGCTAGCGTCTGGTTAGAGTAAGTCTCATCCATATCTGCTGTGGAGCTGCTGCATATCACACAAATTACTACTAGAACATGAAAAAGCTAGGGTCGTGACATCTTAAGATTTTACATTCAGTATTCAAGATGAATTCCAGGAACTACTCTCTTCTTTGCTATTGATGATTGTGTATGTGCTTCTCTGAAACTGTTTCCCATGACAGAGTATGAGGCACAACTTTTCCATAAGATGTTATGCTGAATGTTCTTTTCCTCAATACATAGTAAGGAGAAAAACATGATCCGCTTATTCCTTTAAGGATAGTCAAACTTTTACTATGAATTCATAAGTTTATTTTCTGCTTGGATGTTCCACCAATGAAAAATAACTGAGCTTCATAGAACAGCAAAAAAGTTTGTTTGAACAGGAAGCAAACTAAAGCATAAAACTGCAGCAAAGGAACTGATTGTCAGGACAAGCAAAATGCATGTTCGATGCAAGAGGGGTAAAACCAAACTTTTTAGACAATTTTAAATTAATCAGAAAAAGGGGACGGCAAATTGATGTGGCAAAGGTGCTTAACCAATAAAATCTTCCATTTAATAAACTATAATCCTTAGCTCATGCTTAACCAATAAAGCCTTCCTTTTAATAAACTGTAATCCTTAGTTCCTACTCTCCCTTTAATGCATATCTGGCAATTTGTGTGCCTTGACACTTTGCTTACAAATTTAGCGGTGCCTAAATGTTACATGGAATATGCAGGTCTCTAATTGAAGAAGTCAGCTTATATGAACTTCAATTATTTGTTTGCCTTGAAAATTCAACAAGCATAACAAGTTGATCAATGAAATGAGGAAAATAACTCTCCTCTTTTAATTTTAAATGACAGCTATTTTCTTTTTATTTACTGTCGGTTGTATTTCTTCATATTGATGAAACGAGAAGAAGTCATGAGATTGATGAATAACAATGTCTGCCTTTTGCGTTGACAAGTCCTTAGGACAACAAACAAAAGCTATTCTGTTTCTGATGAGAAACACCCGTTTTCTTGTCATCTAAGATGCATATAACGAATGCAGGGTTTAAGTCTGGAGCTCTGTGCAAAGGATAGAGTTGGCTTGTTGTCTGAGGTAACAAGGATTCTCCGAGAGAATGGATTGTCCGTTAGAAGAGCAGGGGTGTCAACAGTTGGGGAGCAAGCAGTGAATGTTTTCTATGTGAGGGATGCTTATGGGAATCCAGTAGATACAAAGACGATTGAAGCGCTTCGCAAAGAAATCGGACACACAATGATGCTTAATGTAAAGAAGGATCCAGCCAGTGCCAAAGCACCTGAGGCTGAGACTAGTGGATGGGCCAAAACAAGCTTCTTTTTTGGGAACTTGCTGGAAAAGTTCTTGGCTTGAGTGAAAAACAAAGGAAGTAGTATTATGTCCATGTATGGCTGTAATACAAACTCTGAACTGTATAGAATAATGCAAGCTTTTGCATACCAACTATGGGAAGGACTTGTTATCCCTGCTTTGTTTAAAAATAAAAGCTTGCAAATTGTGAAGCTTGGACTTTGGAAATTGAGTGCCTCTTTGCTTTTCTTTCTATCTTATTTTACGTCTTTTGGCAGCTTAATTTTCCTATATATATAGTTTATCTACCATGGACACACCAATAAATTGACTTTGAATGCTTCCTTGCTTAGTTTGATGGCTTTATCATACATTTGACTTGGAATGGATTTTGCAAGGCACAAGAGAAAAGTTTACTTGCAATTGAATTTATTCCATATATTTTTTTGTATTAAAATCAGGTAAGGAACAACTGTTGGATTTAATCGAATTGAAGAAGATCCCAATCTATGTGGCCATGACTGGAAATAACGTCCCATTAAAGATGTTTAACTTCTATATTAATATACTTATTAGAAATTGGCGAGACCTTGTAAATTACAACATCTAAAGGAATGTTCACGGCATCTTCTTCCTATTTTCCAGTTCATCGGAAGTGGTCTGGTCTTTTCAATAATATCATCAAACTTTCCAAACTGTTCCCGCAATTAAGTCTTTTCAATTTACAAAACATCGTAGAATAATCCACATGATAATTGTATTAGCTGTCATAATTCTGGCTTTCTTTTGAGCAAAGATTCAGTCCCTTGAATAAATTAAGCATAAAAATGAAAGAATTCATTCCTTGTATCAATAAATAAATAAATACAAACAAAAGCTAGTAATCTCTTATATTTTAATCTAAAGATTGAAACAATTTCCTAACGATTAATTCAATTACCATTAAAAGCATGCATAATTACATACAACCGGAAAAGCAAGATTTGTGTCCTTGCACTAATTACATGCTAATTATCAACATTTGAAAGCAACATTGGTGCGGCAGATAAGAATAAAAAGGACAGCCATAGGCGACAAGCTAGGGAGGAGTAGAACCTACGTTATCATAGCATAGGCATATATTATATACACGCCTATTGGCATTATTAACTTACTCAATAATGGACCGATTCTGCCCCAAACACCAAAAATTCATCAATGCTTGAAGTCAAGGCCTGCAAACTTAGGTCTATAATCTATTTGATTTTTAAGGGAATTTATTGTAATGTGTCCGAAGTTCACATTCAGAATTTGTGGAGATTCATTATAATCAGAGGCGAAAGGGGAGCAGATTTGAAATCTTTAGTTAAGATATACGCGGCATTTAGACTTGTGTATAGAAAAATTAAATAAATTTAACCTTAAGTATTTACAAATAATGTAGAAGTGAAAATCACTAATCTTGAAGAAAAAAACTTTGGTAGAAAAATAATTATATTATTTTCAAGAGAAAAACAAATATTTGAGATTCTAAGCAAATGGCCTAAATTGTTAGAATAGTTGGATATGACTATTTGGCAATTTGACTTTATTGCCTTTTCCTAATGTCTAATGGTGCTATTTATAATATAACTTTTCCCAATCATAAAACAATCGTATTTTTATTGTCTTTTATATAAAATAAATATTATATCTCTAGGAAGAACACCACTAATCTAAAGTCTTAGTGCAAGTAAAATAAAACAATATGTAAATATCTATACTCACTAATCAAGTCTACACGTTGTTACCATCAGTTCATCTAGCCTCATATTGCAGCGAATTAAGTTATTCACTGTGTTGTGCCATTCCTTGCGAAGCTCATCGTTATTGGACTCTAGTTGATCAATGTTGTCTTCAACATATTTAAAGTTGCTCCACACCTTGTGGTTGATAATCATCTCAAGGCGAGATACACAATTATCCAATATTTGCAAAATGTCTTTGGATTCGTAACGCTGGGCGGTATGTATGTGTCTAGTTTACATGATTGCAATGCTCATACTATTTTGAACTAAGGTGTTCAAGCGTGATATGGTCCACATACCAATTGATGTTATCTTCTTTTCAACACTCTTCTTTCCTTAACTAACTTTCATGATGACTTTGATTCAAAACAAATTTCCGCTTCCCTATTGATACCTTAAGGTTTGGAATTTTACCTTAAATCAATTTTCTCTAAAACTTAAGGTTTCCCTAAATATTCTTGGTTTTGCCAACCCAACTTTCCCAAACACACTTGGGTTTGACTAATCTATCACTCCACCTAAATCTTTCATAACTTTGAAACCACCTTTCCCTTGAAAAGGTGAGGCTTATCTTGTTAAACCTAGCTTTGATATCACTTTTCCTTGGAAAGATGAGGCTCTTCTTACTTAACCTAGCTCTAATATGACTTGTCACAAGCTTAGAATCTTTAGCCAAAATCCGTGCAGCGCTTAGATTTGTGTGTAGAAAGACTAAGCAAGCTTAATCTTAAATATTTACGAATAATGTGGAAGAGAAAATACTTAAACTTGAAGAAAAGACTTTAGGAAAAAATAATTATATTATTCTTTGGATACAAACAAACACTTAAGATTTTCAGCAAATAACCCAAATTGCTAAAATACTTAAATATGACTACTTGGCAATTTGACTCTATTACTTTTTCCTAATGCTTAAGAGTACTATTTATAATGTTGTTTTTCTTAATATTAAAACAACTCTACTTCTGGTTGTCTAATAAAACTAGATTAGTTAACAAGAGATTTAAATAAACTAAATGTTCTATTCTAAGTACAACACTACTTGCTTTTTTTTTTAATTATTGGGAGATAAGGGATTCGAACCGTGCTATTTAGATAGGGGGATAATGCTCCAACCAATGAGGCAAATGTTCGGGTACACAACACCACTGGCTTAAAGTCCTATTACAAGTAAAATAAAATAATAGGTCAAAATACCCAAGAGATCCTTGTACTCATACATTTTGTACAATTTAGTTTCTATACTTTAATTTGAAACAATTTAATCTCTCGATTTTAAAAATTACTCCAATTTAGTCCATCTCCCTAATGACATTCAATTTAGTTGTTAAATAAGATAAGTCAATGTTGACGTAACATATTTTCACTAACATGGCAACGTGGGCAAATGACATACTGCCATGTCACTGTAACATGCTGAAGTGGTAGTGTCACATCACCCTGACATGTTGATGTGGTAGTACCACATCACTTTTTGAGTTTGGATTATTGACATAACACTGCCATATCAACATGTCAGAGTGATGTAGCATGTTAAGAAGTTGCCATATGGCATACCAATAGACTACCATGTGGCATGTTAGGATGTTGCCAAGTCACTCTATTTTTCTCCAAAATATTATGTGTTTTTGTTTGAATTCGAACTCAAGACATCTAACAAATACACCAAAGTGCTTACCAACATACCTAAACCATTACTTTCTAATAATTTATTACTTTTATTATTTTTTTGTTTTCTATTTCTTTCTTAAAATTACATTGTTTTAGAGCCATCTTACACCCTCTAAAACCTTGGCTATAAGAGAGAGAGAGAAAAAATAAAGAGAGAAGTGAAAGAAAAAATGAAAAAAAAATGCTTTTATAAATAGGGTTTTTGATAGTATGAAAAGTTTTCAAAATGACGTAGTTTTAGGAAAAAATAAGAAACAAAAATAGAGAAAAAAAGTAATAAATTATTAGAAGCAAGGGCTTAAGCATGATGATAAGCACTTTGATGTATTTGTTAGAGGTCCAAGGTTCAAACCTTAATAAAAGCGCATATTATTTTTGAAAAGAAGATAATGACATGGTGCATAATAATTTGGATAAGAGAGTGATGTGGCATTACCATGTCACTTAGACATGATGACATGGCAGTGCAACATCAATAACAAGAACTCAAAAGGTGATGTGGCACTGCCATGCTAGCATGTTAAGAAGGTGATGTGGTAATACCACATTAGCATGCCATCTACCCACGCTAGTGAAAATGTGCCACGTCAATATTAACATCATCTTATTTAATGATTAAATTAGATGTCATTAGAAAAACAAGATTAAATCGGAGTAATTTCTAAAATTGAAGGACTACATTGCTTCAAATTGGAGTACATAGACTAAATTGAACAAATGTATGAGTTTAGGGACCTCTCAGGTATTTTGACCTAAAATAATATATAGATATCTATACATAAGAATTCTATCCCAAATCAAACTTTTTTTATCCGAGCAGTCCTTTTGTAGTTGGGCTTTCTGTGTAAATTTTCTTTGCGTGTAGCCTTTTTGTGCTTGATCCACAATCCTACGAGATTGGGTGGGATGACGTATCTATGGCCTAATGAAGTACGGTCTAATGGCTCATGTTCCTCAGGTCTACACATGTGTGGGGCATCTAGAGACCCTTAATCAATGGTGGCTCTATGTCGATTGTTGATAGGCTCCTAAGTGATGTCACCTCAAGCCCAATTTATGCCACTAGGCGTTGTGTGGCACCAGTGTGTGTTGCTGATCCAAACCTTCCATCCAGCTAGACTAGTTATAACATTGCAAACAATGACATTCTCCCACACTTAGTTTAGGCAACGCCTTTATTGCCTTGTTGTCTTTTTCCATCACAAGTTTTCAATGGGTTCTCTACAAGTGCCGTGGGTTCATTTGAGGCAATCCCCAATTGGTTGTTTCAAAAGAACTTCCAAGTTGAGATGCGTTTTACTATGTGGATATCTAGGTCGCGGCTAACCTGTGATATCTAAGTACACCGCTCCCATTTGCACAATGGCTCTATTTGTGGCACATATAGGACATAAGGGGTTTGAACTTGAGACTTGGACTATTAATCCAGTGTCAATTCAAATTATTTAGTCCAAAAGTCACGTTGTGCAACTTTTTAGTATTTGTCAACTACATGTGCAACTCTTTAATTAAGACCTTTAACAACTTCTGTCAATTGCCATTGTTGCTGCAACATAGCTACCAGCAATTCATCTAGCCTCACATTGTGGTTGTTTAAGTTGTTCATCGTGTTATGCCATTCCTTGTGAAGCTCATCACTATTGGACTTTAACTGATCAATGCTATCTTCGAAATATTTGAAGTTGCTCCACAACTCATGGGTGATAATGGTCTCAAGGCTAGATACGTGATTATCTAGTGCTTGCAAAATGTCCTCAAAGTCATAACGTTGTGCAGCATGTGTGTGCATAGTTTCCATGTTTGCAATAGTCATACCATCTTGA